AGTAATTGTGAGATGATCCAGGTAAAGAGCCAGGACTGTAATGGAGGTAGTGGAAATCAAGAACTCAGGATACATTTTTAAAAATTTATTCTTTTTTATATCATCAGTCACTTTATACATTTACTCATGTACATTTTATCCAGTCATTTCTGTACATTGTGTTTTAGACAATTAATTACTTTGATTGATTACTTTTATCTCCCATCTCCTCAAGTCTCCACTGCACCTTACCTACTTCTTCACCTGCCATCCCCCTCAACCTCTACTGTCTTAGTGATTTCTTCCTTCTTCCTTTTAAAAAGTTAAAGTAAGCAAAAAAAATTCATAACAGACTATGTTGTTGTTGTTATGTGTGGTTGAGTCACCTGTGACTCACAGCGACCATATATACAAAAGCTCTAAACCCTGCTCTATACTGTGCCAATCTTATTGTCTCTGACACACCTACTCCCATTACCCCAGTCACTGAGCCAATCCATCTCATCGAAGGTCTTCCTCTCTTGTGCTGTCCCTTCACCCTCCCAAGCATGACGTCCCTCACTAAGCACTGAACTCCCCTTGCAATGTGTCCAAAGTATGCCAGACTAAGCTTCAGAATCCTTGCCTCCAAGGAGGAGCCTGGCTTCACCCTCTCCAGGACTACCTTGTTTGCTTTCTTAGAAGTCCATGGTATATTCAATACTCTTCTTCAGCACCATAGTTCAAAGCATCAATTCTCCTTCAATCATTCCTATTCATTGTACAGCTTTCCGATGCATAACAAGTAATTGCAAATACCTTGGCATGTATCAGGTGCATTTTATTCTCCAGACTTATATCATTGCTCTTCAGTACTTTGGAGAGAGAGGTCTTTGACAGATATCTTTCCCAATCAAGTAATCTTATAATTTCCTGGCTGCTGGTACCAAGAGCGTTGGTTGTAGAGCCAAACAAACTGAAGCTATTAAAAAATCTTAATCTCTTCACCATCTATCATGTTGCTGCCAAGCATCCCAGTGGTGAAAATCTTTGTTTTCTTGATGTTGAACTTTAATCCATATTGAAAGCTGCAGTCCTTGACCTTCAGCAGCAAGTGCTTCAGGTCCTCCCAAATTTCAGCAAGCAGGGTCATATCATCTGTATAATGCAGATTGTTGATGAATCTTCCTCCAATCCAAATGCTATATTTCTCCTCATAGAGTCCAGCCTCCCAAATAATCTGTTCCACATATAGATTGAAAATATATGGAGATAGGACAGATCCTTGGTGCAAACCTTCCCAATTTTGAACCATGCAGTGTTTCCTTGCTCTGTTCGGATAACTACCTCCTGGTCCAAGTATAGGTTTCACATAAGCACAATCAAGTGCTTTGGGATTTCCATTCTTCTCAGAGTGAGCCACAGTTTGTTGTGATGCACACAGTCAAATGTCTTTGCATAATAGGAACACAGATAGATAATTCCTCTGGTACTCCCTGCTTTCAGCCAAAATCCATCTAACATTAGCTACAATATCCCTAGTCCCATGGCCTCTTCTAAACCCAGCATGCACTTCAGACAGTTCTCTGTTGATGTGTTGTTCCAGTAGTTTTTGGATAATCTTCAGCAGAATCTTGCTTGTATGTGCTATAAATGATATTGTTTGATAATTTCTACAATCCGTCGGGTCACCTTTCTTTGGGATAGGAACAAATATAGTCTATAGTTCATAGAGTTTCAGGAGACTAGGAATTTCAATTTGGAAGTCCTCTGTGCAGAGACAATTCTTTATAGAAATTAAATTAAATTTCCTGTTTTGGTGGCCTAGTGGTTAAGGGATTGCACTATCAATTCAAGAAGACAGTTTGAATTGAACAGTTGCTGTGAAGGAGAATCAAGATGGGCAATCTCCTCTACTGCCCTTTATAGTCTCAAGGAACCAGATGGAGGTTCAGCTATGAATAAATTCCCACTAGAGTGTCCCCAAGTTGTGTCTACGTGAGGTTCTAAATTAATAGGATCCGAATTCTAGGTTCAGCAACAGCAACCATAACATACTCCCTGATCAATTAGCAATGACAATTAGAGACTTGTGAGGCAAGAAAGGCACCAAGAATCACACATCTGAGACGTCTTTTAGCATCATTGAAGAGAAATCAAGGCAATGTAGGGTGTCCTTCCTGCTCCAGCTACACCTACAGCAGCAACACCTGCAGCTGTGAAATAGGACCCGGGGGCAGAGGGAAGGCCAATACTGGCAAAACTGAGAATGTGGAAACACTGAAGTAAGAGGCCCGAGGCCGAGGTGTCTATGTGCACATTTTGGGAGCCATCTTGACTGTATTCCTGCCCCCCCCAAAAAAGAATCACACATCTGCCCTCACATGAAAGAAGCATATATAAGACTGAGCCAATTGAGCTGAGGATTAGAATGAGGTAAGACTGACACACATATAGAGCCATGACATTGCTCATAGTTGGGTGGAATATTGAATCAGTAGAGAACTGAAGAGAAAATCTGTGTCACAGACACTAAGGGACAAGAAAGAGCATATAGGCATTCATAAGCAACATCATCACATTATGCAAAACATGAAAAAATAAAGACGGTAAGAACAATTCTCTTAGACTGCAATAGTGAGATTTCTGTGTATCTTGGAAAGATTGAATGGTTTTAGGGTGTGATGAAGTGAATTATAAGTGAGATATTTAGGGAATTTTACATACTGCAGGATGAATTATTAAATCACTTCCCAAGGTCCTCTTTGATATCATTAGGTTGTATTTTATCCATATTATAAATATATGTTCTACTTTTGATTTTCAAATTGTACAAGGATGTTTTCTAATTCTAATTCTTTAGTATAATGATTTAGGGCCTATGTGAACACCATTTTAAGAGATGATGTTAATTCGTAAATAAAAATAAATAATGTCATGTTAAATAACACAACCACAAACTTCTTATATTTGGATATGTATTCTTATAATTATTAATTAGCACATATGTACAATATAAATGATCTCCAACCAAGCTTTATAATTACCCCAAAATAAGAAATTTTATGTCTTGGCAGTTTTCCAACTTCAAACGCACCCAGTCAAAATTTAGCCATTAATTTTAAAAAAAAAGAAAAATAAAAAATAAAACCACAAAACCTCAAATTTACTGTCCTAGGGTTGGTTCTGACTCGTAGTAACTGTCCATCTACTAGGTTTCTAAGGGCCAAGAGCAAGAGTTTTACAGCCATTGGGTTAATAATGCAACTAGCTGTGAACTATGCCACCAGCACCTCTCAAGAAAAGAATCTCCTTTTCCCTGCATCACATGTTGAAGTATGTGAATATAGGGGTTGTTGTATAACGGCGTATTGAGTTATATGGTTTAAGTTAAGAAGTGGGATTGAAAGTCTATGCTGGCCCTTTAAGGTAGGTAGTATTCCAACTGATCTTGAGCTATGGAATCAGAGCAGTGAAGGACCTAAGCAGTTGGAAGGGTGATGGAAATTGAGATGCCAGGAGCCACTGGCTAATGAAGAAACAACTGGAGAAAGAAACTGAAATGTTAAGATGATCAGAAATGAACAGAAAGGAGATTGTAAAAATAGTAAGTTAAAAATAACAAATTTTTACTTTTATAAAGGGGACTAAGGAAACAAGGAAAAAAGAACTATTTCTGAAAACTGTTGAAAGGGAAAAAAACAAAAAAAGTCAATTTTTTTTAAATTTAAACTTTATTGTTACTATGCAAGGAGCATTAGCAACCTCTAGGGTTCTGAGGAAAGGTTAAATAGTTTCATATTAGAACAGATAGTTAAATTGAGAAAAGAAATTGGGGAGATTTTTATAGGAGCCATTTTGACTGTATTGCGTTCTTAATATGGATTATACACCTTGGCATAACAATTCATTGTTATGTATTTAATGTTACAATTAAAGATGCTGCAATTTATTGTTTTATTTGTAAATACGTGATAGTTCTGGGAAACTTTTTAAACATACTCTTTCTTAATTTGGATAAAAAAGCAAGTGTGATTGGAGATTATCTCTATTGTACTTATGCACTGATTAATAATTATTGTTGTTGTGTGCTATTGAGTAGGCTCTGATCCATAGCTGTCCTGACTGCAGGTTTTTGGAGACAGTTAATCATGTGGGAGGAAGGTGCCCATCCTTCTCCCATGGAGCAGATGGTAGATGGTGGATTTGAACAGCGTGCCTTTGGGATTGTGGCATAGCTTCTTATCACTATGCCACCAGAGCTCTCTAATTAATCATTACAGGAATATTTATCCAGTTTATTAAATTGACATATCAAGGACAATCTACAATCATGAGGATATAGATAAAATGGCATTTTTATATCCCTCAGGAACTCTAACTAGATATATCTACTAGTAATATTAAACACACAAATAGAGGGCTCTTACCTCTAGTATACATATGTAGGAAGTTGGGAGGAAAAGTGACTACAGATTAAAAGGGAGTGCTGGTGGCTTAGTGGCAAGAAGTTGAGTTGCTAAATCAAAAGCACATGGGTCAAATCCACCAGCTACTTTGCAAGAGAAAAACGAGTAATCCCTTCTGTGCAATTTACTGCCTCTAAAAACCCATTAGAAGTTCAGCTATGAGTTGGTTCCAATTCTGTTGCATATGACAACAACAACATAGATTAAAGAAGAAAATAATAATGTAAACCGAAGAGTGCATTTACTCTAGAATAACTATTCCTTCTCTAGATTCACAGGACAGTTGGAGGGTTATACTCCCCAACCAAAATGTGCTTATTCTGTATTTTCTTGTAAACACTTTAAAATGACCATCTTATAATTTAATCTTGTTTTGAAATAAAAATTCATTTCAAAGTAGTTGCTTGGCAATGCATTGAGAAAGGATTTTGAAATTCAATGCCATTTAACAAACTGAACTTTCTTTCTTTTTTTAGTCAGGGGAAAAAACTGTCACTTGAAAAGTTCCTGATACTATAAACATTGTGATAAACTTAAACTTAGAAATAAAAAGAGGAGTAAATAGGACTCATCATGGCTTTAGTCCCAGTCCACCGGGCCCGAAAAAACAGCAAAAAATCTTACCGACCAGAATCCTTTCTAATGCCACAAGTTCCACGGAGCAATTACTTACACTTGCAAGAAGAGAAGCAAAGGCTACATCTAAAGAAATTCCTCATCCATAGGATGTTTCTAGTAGCCAAGATCCCAGCACACACGGAGAAGAAAGACATTTCTGATTACTATGAGCAGGTGTTTCAGTCAATTTTAAAACATCACCTAGGAGAGAATGTAACGGGATTATTGCTCATATATCCAACTTCCATTCTTCACATCCTTGAATCTTCCAATGGTACTCTTTTCCAAATTCTTCTAGATTATATTGCCCATGACCAGAGTGAAGATGAATTCTTAATGCAAGGAATGAAAATTATAGTAGTATCCCATAATATCCCAGCCAGGCTCTTTCTGCAGTGGTACGTCTCTGTCATAAAAGTGCCTGTCATGTACCTTGATGATGTAACTCAGTCACTGTCTCTAGATGAGGTCATCTCGGAGTTCCTCACCCAAACTCACAAACTTGGACTCCACTTTTTAAAGACTGTTAAAGTGGGTACTAAAGGGCCAGGTGACAACTTGCACCAACTTGTACCAGAACTACTACTCTCAGAACAAATAATAAAATACTTGTGCAAAACTGAAGAATTCCTGGACCCAGCAGCATTCATAGAAAAGTATAACAATCCCTTACACATCACTTTGGATTCTGAGGTGGTATGGCCTGCTCCTACCCGTTTCTAGGCTTGAAGAGATGATGTGGTCATCATACTTCTAAAAGAATTTATGATACTTAATAAAAAGAAAATATTTCTAATGCTGTTTTCATTATTTTTCTTTCTTAGAGGAACAGAGGGCTTCAATGTACACAAAGGTAATCGTTACACAGTATGTTGTCATTTCAGATAAACTTAGAAAAGATGTCTGTTTATCTGTTCTGATCTTTCACTTAGGAGCCCTGGTGGAGCAGTAGTTAAACACGTAGCTACCAAGGAAAAGGCCAGCTGTCTGAAGTCACCAATCAACCCATGGAAGACAGACACCGTGGTAGTCAGCTTCTGTAAAGGTTTGTTGTTGTTGTTGTTGTTGTTGTTGATTGCCTTTGAGTCAAGCAAGATTCATAGCGACCCCATTAACAAAAGGCCTGAAGTCCCTCTCCAACCATCGACATTTATGAAAGTTCATAGAGTTTCCAGAGGCATGTTATTTAGGAAGTGGATGCCACGCATTCCATTCTGTCCAAAAGGTCTCTATGAGTTGGGATTGGCTCAAAAGAACCGAGTACTCAGTTTAACATATAATTTATGTAGACAGAGAGGTTTAATAAGTTCATAATAAATTATCAAATGCTTACATTTCCATAGAACTACTTTTAAAAAGGAAACATTTGGAGGGTGGAGGGAGGGGGTAAAGGAAATGGATAAGATCTGAAAAGACAGGGTAATGATGGGCGTAATCCAATGGTGATTAATTTTATAAAACTTAATGAATGGGAATTATTATGTGAAACACAATGTGGATGAAGAATAGTTTGAAATACTATACAAACTTTGTAAGCAAACCAATATAAAATAAAACTTTTAAAAATATGCATATGTTTAAAATTGCTTTTAAAAAGAAACAGAACTATTACTTCATTCAGATTTGCATTCATTCATTCACTCAATGATCTTTGACCAACTACCATCAGACAGAATTGCACACAGTTGTGAGGGGATAAAAAGGGAAGGAAACTTGAGCTGCTTGCAAACTAAGGTTGTTGTTATGTGCCGTTGAGTCGCTTGCGACTCATAGTGGCCCTATGTACAACAGCCCTAAACTCTGCTCTGTCCTGTGCCAGTCTCACTGTATCTGACACTTCCATCCTGATTATCCCAGTCACTGAATCAATCCACCTCATAGAGGGCCTTACCCTCCTGCGCTGTCCCTCCACCCTACCAAGCATGATGTCCCTCTCCAAGGACCAGTCTCTCCTTACAACATGTCCAAAGTATGTTAGATGAAGCCTCAGAATCCTTGCCTCCAGGGAGCCACCTGGTTTAACCCTCTCCTGGATGAATCTGTTTGTTTTCCTAGCAGTCCATGGTACCCTCAATACTCTTCTCCAGCACCATAGCTCAAAGACATCAATTCTCCTTTTATCCTCCTTAGTCATTGTCCAACTCTCTGAGGCATAACAAGTGATAGCAAAGACCATGGCCTGTATGAGATGCACCTTAGTCTCCAAAGAGACACCATTGCTCTTCAGTACTTTGGAGATGCCCCTAGCAGCAGAGTTTCCCATCGCAATACATCTTTTAATTTCCTGGCTACTGGTGCTGAGAGTGTTGACTGTGGAGCCAAGCAAACTAAAGCTGTAAACAATCTCATTCTCTTCACCACTCATCCTGATGCTGCCAATTGGCCCTGTGGTGAGAATCTTTGTCTTCTTGACATTGAGCCTCAATCCATATTGGAGGCTGCAGTCATTGACCCTCTGCAGCAAGCGCTTCAGGTCCTCCCTAGTTTCAGCAAGCACGTTTGTATCATCTGCATAACGCAGACTGTTGATAGATCTTCTACCAATCTTGATGCCACACTTCTCCTCATTGAACCCAGCCTCTCAGATAATCTATTCTGCATACAGGTTGAAAAGGAATGGAGACAGGACACATCCCTGGTGTATGCCCTTCCCAATTTTGAATCATGCAATGCTTCTTACTCTGTTCTGACGACTGCCTCTTGGTCCAAGTATAGGTTTTGCATTAGCACAATCAAGTGTTCTCTAATCTAAGGTTAGAGGCAAATGAATACAAAAGCAATTACGGTATAATATATAATGTTGTTGTTATTGTTGTTTACCGTAGAGTTGGAACTGACCCATAGCTGACCCTCTGGTGGGTTTTCAGAGACAGTTATCACACAGGAAAAGATTGCCCATCCTTCTCCTGTGGAACAACTGGTGGCCTCAAGTCCCATGCCTTTGGGATTGCAGCACAGCTTCTTGCCAATAGGCCACCAGAGCTCCCTAGAATAATATTGACAGTATGGAGGAAAGAGTTTGAGAATACAATTAAAGGAATAATTTTTGCATAGTTCTTGCAGTTGTAAGACAAAAACTTTTTAATTAGCTCCAAAGTTTATAAGGGACTATATAATAAAAACTATTAAGGCTCTTCTAAAACTGAAGAGCACAATGGCTTATTGAAAACACATTGGTAGAGGTCATTGTACTCTTTCCTGTAAAGTGTCTTAACCCTCTTGGTGCTATTGTACGGTGCCCTTGAGTTACTTACAACTCATAGTGACCCATGAACAATATATCTGAACCTTGTTCTAGCCTGTGCTATACTCATCACCTCTTATATGTCTGAGCCCATTGCTACAGTTACTTTATCCATCTCACTGAGGGTCTTGCTCTCTTTCCCTGACCCTCTACCTTTCCAAGCATGATGTCCTATTTCAAGGACTAGCATCTTGTAATAACATGCCCAAAATATATGAGATAAACCTTTGCTATCCTTGCCTCCAAACAGCACCTTGGCTGCACGTTCTCCAAGGCATATCTGTTATTGTTAGGTGCTTCAAGCCAAGTACGACTCATAGTGAACCAATGAACAACAGACTTGAATCCTGTCTTCTCCTGTGCCTTCCTCATAATTTCTGATATACTTGAGCCCATTGTTACAGTCATTGTGCCAATCCATCTCACTGGGACCTCTTCCCTTCCATTGGCCCTCCACCTTTCCATGCATGATATCCTTTTCCAATGAATAGATCAGTGGGTTTTCTGAGGCAGTATATCACAGGAGGAGACGGCTCATCTTTCTCCTGTGAAGCAGTTGATGGACTGAAACCACATGCCTTTGGGACTACAGCTTCTCGCCACTAGGCCATCAGAGATACTCACGCTCCCTTAATACTGTTGCTGTTGATTGCCTTCAAGTAGAGCACGACTCATAGTGACCCTATGAACCAAAGTCCTGAAACCTTTCTATACCAATCGACCTTTCTCAAAGATTAGAAGAGCTTCCAGAGTGGATGCCACTGCTGCTTCCCTTAATACTAATTGTTGTTATTTTGTGCCTTGGAGTCAGAGCCTTTGCATAGTGGCCATCCAGCAAATTTTCAGAGACTATAAGTCATGTGGAAGTCCACCTAACTTTTTCCCGTGAAACAGCTGGTGGATATAAGCTGCCTGTCCTTGGATTAGCAGCACAACTCTTTAATCAGTAGGCCACAAGAGCTCCTCGTTGCTCTTGTTGTTAGGTGCCCTGTAAATAGCCAACTTGAACCCTGCTCTATCCTGTGCCTTTATCATCTCTGACACACTAGAGCCCGCTGCTGAAGTCACCATGTCAATCCATCTCTCTGGAAGTCTTCCACTCCTTTGCTTACTCTCCATTTTCCCAAGCCTGGTGTCCCTTTCCAAAGAATAGATTCAGAAGGAAATGGATTTCCAAGGAAAGGAATAGATTTTGGAGGAATAACCTTACACTAGGGATAAGGTATTAATTGTCATATCACTTCACCATTTAAGAAATGATTTAGTAACAAAAATGAGCAGATTTTAAATTCTTTTTTTATATTGTAAAAGTAATAAAAAATCACCTTATGGAAAATCTAAATGTTGGTATTAGCTTTGAAAGAGGATGAGGATTTGAATGTGAAAAATTATTTGAAAGCACAGACTAGAACACTGAAAAGAATTAACAGTGACAGAAACAAGAATTTGAGCAATACATTTTTATTGGTTCAAACAGAACAATTTCTTTACTGAGATGAATTTTGCTTGGAAATAGTATTTTAGAAAGCTAACTCTGGTATGTATCTCAGTGATAAGACGTCACTGTCAACTCAAAGGGACTCAGTTCAAATTCACCAGTGGGAGAAACATGGGCCATCTCTTCACATGTGATTTGTTGCTTCTGAAAACCTGCTAAAGGGTCAGCTATGAGTCAGTTTCAACTCAGTGATACACAGTAACAATAACAACAAAGTCAGCTAGGGAAAAGTTTATAAAGAAATAATTACGTGTTCATATTCTTGTTGTTATGTGCCATTGAGTTGCTTGCAACTCATAGCAATCCTACATACAACAGCTCTGAACCCTACTCTATACTGTGCCATACGTATCATCTCTGACACACCTATGTCACTACCCCAGTCACTGAATCAATCCATCTCATGGAGGGTCTTCCTTTCTTGTACTGTCCCTCTACCCTCCCAAGCATGATGTCTCTCTCCAAAGACAGATTTCTCCTTGCAACATGCCCAAAGTATGCGAGATGAAGCTTTACAATCCTTTCCTCCAAGGAGCATTCTGGTTTCCCCCAAGCTAAGATGAACCTCTTTGCTCTCCTAGTAACGTATATTCAATACTCTTCTCCAGCACCACAGCTCAAAGGCATCAACTCTCTTTCTATCATCCTTAGTCATTGTCCAGCTCTCTGACGCATAGTAAGTATCTGTGAAGACTATGGCCTGGATCAGGCACACCGTAATATCCAGACTGACATTGTTCGTCAGTCCCTGACAGCAGATTTCCCCATTGCAATTTGTCTTCTAATTTCCCGGCTGGTAGTACCAAGAGAATTGATTGTGGAGCCAAGCTGACTAAAGGTATTAATCTCTTCACCATTTATCATGATGTTATCAATAAGCCCAGTGGTAAGAACCTATGTTTTTTTGATGTTGAACTTCAGTCCATATTAATCCTTGACCTTCTGCAGGAAGTGCTTAAGGTCTTCTCAGTTTCCACAAAC